GTATTGTAAATGCCTCTCCTCTTGTTTCTGATTAGTCTTTTCATTGTCGTTAATTAGTCATTTGTTCTTAAACCAGTTTCCGTGGTGTTGCAGTCTTTCCAAATTAACATAGTTGCCGCTCAACAGCACATCAGCAGTCACATTAATGGCATAATCAAAAAACAAATTGACCATTCTGAGGAACACGTCAGAGGTGTCATCTTGAGGAAGGAGAGACTGCTGGCTGAAAACCTTGATACCGAATATTGATTTGCTGCTGCCGAGAATTCGCAGTAAACAGACACACCGAGAAAAAACGGCTTTACATTACATATCTTAATTCTAAAGTTTCTTCATTATGTCTCGCTTTTCGAGCAATAATAATGGTCAATTCAACTTGTTTTGTTTTCAACCTAAAACGATGCAAAAGCTGCAATGCAAAGAAGAATATCAGAACTGCGTGAAAGGGTTCATAGCCAGTTTGTGCATCGCGACGAAAAGCAATTCATAAGTATTGACAGTTTCAGCAAGCACAGTCAACATTTGCAGTTTTTGTTTGAACGTAGACAAGCACATGCCTCACGGATAAAGTTAACAATGTTGTACAGTAAATACTTTGTTCTCGTGCTTAGTTTATTTTCTTTAATATTATAACAAGAAAGTTGAGAATACGACTTTGAACTATGGGTGGTAGCTTGCAAAAAAATCCTGCGGGCGCCCATGGCAGGCGTCCAACTGGTTCGTGACGTAGTATGTCGAAGGTGCCGATCTACGTTGGCATGAAAACGGTTTTAAATAAATTGTAGAATAGATCTAGATTTAGAATACTCTAGAACTAGATTCTATATAGAGAGATCTAGGCCGGTCTCTCTCTTTCTCTAAAATGAGCCAATATATAAGAATATATATTCATGGGCGTAGCCAAAATTTTATTTGAATCCCCCACCCTAAAAAAAATGCATGTGTGTGTGCGTGTACATAATTAATCCCTTCATTCTTTCGGAAGACATTTATTGTAACCTAGAATAGGTTCTTCCTGGAGTTAGTGGGAAAATTGTAGACTTCCCGACATTGCCAGCAAGGGGTCTGGAAGAGAGCTGTGTGCTCCCCCAGCGCGGGGCAAAGCCCCTGCGTCAAGCACTATTTCCGGTATTAAAAGCCAACAAAGTGCATATTCTGATTCGTGGTATTTACAGTGCATTTTTCTGCTTTTAAAAAGTTTTATTTCAAAAACCTTAAGTGCTATTCTTACTGACTTAGATCCTTCCGCGTCGTTCGGCGTATTGGGCGGCAAGCTGCTTCCACAAAAATCTGTCACAGGCAATGTCTGAATTTAAGCCTCTTCCCACCTGCTCTAAAGACCTCGCTTGGAAATAGGTGTCTGTAGTTTGCTTTAGATTTATATCAAAAAGGGAAGTTAATTGTCAAATTCATTTGGGGGGGGGGGGGGGTAAACTAAAAAATCTGGGGAGTTTTTTTTTGTTTTTTTTTTTAATTCAAAACCTCACTAGCTACTGTCACAGAATGTGGTGACTGTAGTTTGCTTTAGAATAAAATTGAAGAGAGTGGTTTTCAACCTCAAAACTCTCTGTATGTAGGTATTTAACCTCAAAACCTTCAGGAGGGGTTTTAAACTTTTTTAAAAAGCCCTCTGGAGGAGGGGGTTTAAACTCAAAACTCCTCTTGGCTTGGCGACGCTCATAGAATTTCGAGTGTGTTATTGCTTTTATTTTTATATTGAAGAGGTATTGTTTTAGCTTCAAACGCCGCTGAAGTGGGGTTTAAACTCAAAACCCCCTATGGCTATGCTCAAAGAATTTTGAGTGTGTAATTTGCTTTTGTTTATATAGAAGATGTATTTTTTTAGCTTCAAACCCCGCTGGATGGGGGGATAAGCTCAAAACCCCTTTTGGCTACGATCATAGCATTTTGAGTGTGTAATTTGCTTTTTTTTTAAATTCAAGAGGTATTTTTCAAGCTTTAAACCCCGCAGGAGGTGAGGTTAAGCTCAAAACCCACTTTGGCTACTATCATAGCATTTTGAGTGTGTAATTTTCTTTTTTTTTTTTTATATGGAAGAGGTATTTTTTAGTTTTAAATCCCGCTGAAGAGGGGCTTAAACTCAAAACCCCTTTGGCTAAGCTCATAGAATTTAGATCATGTAATTTGCTTTTTTATATTGAAGAGGTGGTTTCTAGTTATAAACCCCGCTGGAGGTTTTTTTTTAACACAAACCCTTCTTGGCTACGCTCATAGAGTCAGGTGACTGATGTATGGATACTGGATAGTCTTATATTGAAAAGGGGTTTTATCGTAAATTTCGTAGGGGGTTTTAAAATCAAAATTTTCCTTAGCTATGCTCTTGGAAATTGGGGGGGGCTCTCGTTCGCATTTTTTTTTCGGTTTTGTTTTATAAAAGAGGGTGGTTTGACTGCAAAACCCCCTGGTAGGGGTTTTTAACTCAAAACCCACAATGGCTGCGCTGGGGCAAGGGGTGGTTTAGTAAAATAAATAGAATCAAAGCAAAAAATCAGTCACTAAATTCCGATCCCCGGGGGAGGTTTCATTTCGGGGTGAACCCCCCCCCCCAACGGCTACGCCCATGATATGTAGGCATATACTACATCTATCGAATCTATCCTATACTATGAGTCAAAATAGTTAGGCTTAGGGCAAATGCATCCCCGGTAGACCTCTATATTCTATATCTACTCTATACTTTAATCTGGGACACATTTTGTGTAAAATAACTAATAACCTAATTAATAACATATATTCTTATTGATATTTATTGGTACCTGTTTTGATGTTTCCAATAGAAACCAAACTGTACCACGAAAAAAAAAAGGGGGGGGATAGAAATAATAGATTAGTGGTAGAGGCCAGCCTAAAAATACTGTCTAACTCTATCCTTCAGTTGTGGAAGATTTGATCTATATGGTGATTGTAATACAACCAGATATGGTTGAGGGTGGGGCAGTTGATTCTATTCTGGGGGATGGGTTGTCGTGTTGTTGAGAAATTTAAAAAAACTTGAGCAAAAAAAAAAAAAGTTACACATAATTAAATAATTTAAATTATATATGATGGTTATTAATATTTCAATAAATTCACCCCTAGCTCTCTAGTAAAAGAATTCATTTATTAGTCAATCTAACAAGTTGCCAGGTGGTGATACCAGTAGGCCTACTAGTACAGATTCGTACTAAACAATCTGTATATATTTTGATATAAATTTATCATAATGTCATAGAAAGTGTTTTTTTTTAATTTATTTTATTTTTATTACTATCCCATATTTTTTTCATAAATTTATAATCTACTTATAGTTTTGTAAAGAAAAAAAAAGTTTCATATGTATGAAACAAAATTAAATTAATTGATAATTGATTACTCAATATTTTAAATATTTCAGATACTTTTTTTTTTTTTTTTTTTTGGAGGGTGATCCCTTTTTCTAAATCAGCATTTCTCAACCAAAGGGCTTGACATGCTGACAAGAACGCTTAAAGATGGTCATTTTATTTTAAGGGACAAATTATTCATTACAGTTACATTATTTGAAAAACTCAATAATTGAATATTAATAATAATAATAATAAGGCTTGTCTTTGAGTCCGATTAGTGAGGAATGCAGTATTTCCCGTGGCTGCGTAGCCCCAGCTGTGACCTACATATTTTGCCACATCCAGGGCAAGCATAACCATTGTCCGCAGGTGGTCAATTTAGATTTTCTTTTGAATATTAATTTTGTAATAAAGACATTATTACAAATATTTATAATTAATTAATGATTTTGAAGAAGGCATTTCATTACATCTTGGCTGCTGCAATTTCACTCATCTTTCTCTTGTTGAAGCAATTAAATTTTTCCAGAATGTCAAACCAACATTATGGTGATGTTTTCTGCTTGACCAAAACAGGCTGGCTAAGGTGACCTTATTATAATCACATGAAATTGAGAAGTAATAAGGGGAGGTTACAAGTTACAACTGCTCTTTAGCTATCTATGCTTAAAATAGTTGATATATGTTTATTATGACAGAGACATTTTTTGCCATCCTTCAATGGTATGCCTGCATCACAATGCTCCCAACCCCTCTCCCCCCAATACAACAAACCCTTTTCTGGATCTTGAATCCCCCCCCCCCATTTTTTTTTGCTCTTTCGTCCTTTAGTTGAAGAGCTTACAACCCACCAACTTAGACTCACACACACACACTTTATTTTTGTATCTTCCAATGAAACACTTCTCCCTCACCACACTTTTTGGCATTTTCATTTTTCAGTGGAACAGCCTGCATTAAAGCACACAATTATTTTGCTGCCTGGTCATGTGGTATGCTTCTGGAAAGTCATTTGATGGTCACGATAGACTCAGGTTCAAAGCTTGCTAGTCATTATCCCCATCCAGAAGGAGGTTTGGGCAAGGCTGTAATTATCTTTAAATCTGAAGGAACATCTGGAATGTAAAAACAAAGGAATGGAACCATCCAATGGAATGCCCCACATACAAACTGCACACGTTTTTACCCCTGAATTACATAAGCTTAAGATAGTTTGACTTGAACCTTTTCTTTTACTATTCCATAGAACATCAAACCGACCTAGCCTTACTTTTTTAAGCATCCTCAAATAGGTTAATCCTCCCCCCCTGACTACCTTGAATTCTAGATGTTGCACCTTTATTGTTTTTTTAAAACTTCCTCCTATGGATTGACTCTGCCCCTGACCATACACTTTTTGGCCCTTGAATTCTAGATGTCGCACCTCTGGTTATTTGATGTCCAATGCTAAGCACTCCATATACACCAGTAAAAGATCAGAATCTCAACAATATATGCTGTTTTGTTTTACAATTGAATAAAATGAAAAGAATTTTAAAAAAGAAATAGTGAACATATATTTTGTTAAATATATTTAAAATTATTGAAGTAAAATTTGTATAATTTATCACAATGTAAATATACATCATGTAAACATGTTATAAAGTTAAAACTTTTGTAAATTTATATATTTTATATATATATATATTTCACCTTAAGGTGAAACCTTTAATTAGTAAATTATCACAACATACCAACAAAAATAACCACATTATAAAACAAATGGCTGTCATCTAGCACATAAAATTAAACAAATTTATGCATTTTCTAAGTTTAAAAAAAAACAACACTTATGCTTATGAATTTTGGTTTATAAATACATGTTGTTGGCTTTTATAGGCATCAATAAAAATTTATGGCGATTTTTGCAGGTTCACTGCGCTGGCAGAATGTAATAAGGAATTAATGTTATTTCATTGAACTAAGTCATTGACTTGATAATATATTTTTCCTCTCTCTTAATCTTATATCTGTATAACTGTTTTATCTTTCTTGTTCTACCTAATAATAAAAAAAAAATTTTTCTTCATGAAAACGTCATACCACACAAATCATGATTTGAAGTAATTAGAATAAGACAGCTGCTGGTGGAAGTCTAAATCTGTGTGCTGCTTGTGGCTCCATTTTCTCTTTATAAAACACAGCATTTATAGGTTTGTTCTCCTCTATTCTTTTGTTGCGATCAGCCTCTTGGTTACGCAGCAAGATTTGGTTGATGCAGAATTCTGCTTCTTGGCCACATTCAGTTAACCTCAGGTCCATGTGTATTACTGTTTCATTTTCTTCCATGCCTTCTTGGAGGTGTTTACCTCCATCCTGTTTTAAGATAAGGAAAAGAAGTTTAAAAACATAATGCAACGTAGAATTGGGAGTAAAAAAAAAAGCATTATATTCAAGCTAAGTAAATTCTATTCATAAGCCTATCTAGTGGTCCATGTGGCAGGTAATATTAAAATCACCTATTTCTGTGGTCAACAGTTAAGGTTGTCAAGTGAGCCGTACAACTAATATTTTATTATTTTTATTTATTTCTTCAAATGTCAAGTTGCCAATATAGCCAGGTAGAATATCTTAAAATCCCAAATAAAAATTCATGCCTCCTTCTAATTTGTCAATTTGACAGCCAAGCTTTTTAAACTACTAGTTTGTTATATTTACAATACATGCCATAATGGGCAGTCAAAGAATTTTCAATATCTAATTATCTAATAATGGAGACTGTAATTTTAATGTTGGTAAAGTAGGCCTACTATGTTTTCAATATTTTGGTAAATGAACAAACACCTTCACATAAAGTTATTAAAGAACCCGGTGAGTAGTTAAAGTTCCTAAAGCAGAGATAAAGGTCGGTCTTCTGTAAACTTCTGTTTGACATACATTGGTGCAAAAATATCCAGCTTTAAATTTAAATTTATTTCAATTAAATATTATCCATTAATCAAATCAAGAAAAACCAAGATTTCAGATAATTTATTCTATGTTGTTGTCAAAAAAAAATAATTTTGAAACACAGCAGTGATTGGCCTTAACTGTGTTAACATAGTAGCATTAAGACAATTGAAAAACATTTCATATAGTGGTCTAAGTGAATTGCTGTTTCTACACATTTTCATGTAAAATGTGTTTATTATATATCTCTTGTAAGACAAAGCACACTTCCAGAATAAGATTGCAAAATTTACTTGTGTTTTAGAACCATTAATGAATTAGTGAAAGAAGTTTCTACCCAGTAATCTTGTAATCGATAACTTTATTGCTAAGAAAATCAAGTACCCTGTTAGACCATTAGGAAGTTAAAATGAATCAGTGGACAATATTACATTATTGGCCACATCTCTATACTATAAAGAGTTTCACATTAAATCATATTTATCTTGACCTAATTTTACTTTTGAATATTATTTCTTAAAATGTTTGATATCATGGCGAGAAAGTAAAAATGCTATAAGAAATGGTACCCTCTAGTCTAAATAGGCTACACAAGAAAAAATTAAAGTTTGTGAGATCATAAATAACAGAAATACAACAAGTTTTTGATAAAATCCATCATTAATATGTGAAGCAACCACTACTCAAAGCTCCTCAGGATGCATAATTTTTTCTTTTGCATTTTCGGCCACAATGATAACAATGAATGAACCTTTTCTTTGATCAATGCACAGTCTACAAGAGAGATGCACTTCTAAAGGGTTCCAAACATTTATTTTGCGCTTATAAAAACTACTCTGAAATGTCACTTGCTCTGTGAGTTCAGTTATTGATTTCTAGTTTTTATATTTGTCTTCCTTTTTAAGGCTAGTCCTCATTTTTGTCCTCTTCTTGGAGAGTAAGTCTCTGGTAATCCTATTGGGTGTTATGATGTGATCATTTATAATCTTCATTGCTGATGGAACATTCGAAACATGTAAAACAACAAAACAAAAATTCAGACTTTTGACTTTTTCATCAATGTTCAGTCCTACTTTACAATTGGCAGCACAAAATTCAAATTAGACCAGACCTTGGGAGGAAAGCTATAATGTTTAATAATTTTTCTTGTGGAAATTCTAGTATAAATTGAGATTTTATAAATCACAAAAAAAAAATGTATGGTTGACCAAAATAAGGAATAAAATTCAAAACATTCTGATCCCAGAATATGCATTCTCTTTTGTTAACAATAACAAACTGTCTAAGAGGACACTTACAATTCCAAGTCTGTTGCAGCTGAGGTCTATAGAACGTAGTTTTGGATTCTGCATTAACACTTGAGACATTAGTACTGCTGATGGCTCCATCAAGTCATTGCCACATAAATTTAACTCAACTAGTGTTCTGTTCTTCATTAAAGCTCTACATATTGCCTGTCCACCTTCATCACCCAAGCGATTTAATCTTAAGTTTAAACTCTGTAAAAAAAAGAGAAGTTTATATCAATCATTTCAGGATAGATATGGATTTATTTCAATTCATAGAATGAGACAACTTATGTTCTGGAAGTTGAAAATTAGGACTAGTGAAATTTTGCATTTAGGAAAATCACTCAAGAATGCTGACCAAGTCCTTCAAAGCTACATTATCTATTGAGAAGCCTGAGCAAGTCACTGCCCCCAACAGGCCTATAAGAACTATATGGAGAGCTGCACAGTTAATCTCAGATACAGGACTGGATATCTGAACACTCCAACAAAGAATAAGAAGAAAAAGAATTAATTAATTTCCTATTTATTAATTTATGATATAAAAAAAAAGAGAGATAAATTCTACAAATAAGACGTTTTTTCTGAAACTGTTAAATTATTTAGTTATCAACTAAAAAATCTAAATTTGAGTTACCTATTAAGCATTTAAACATTTAAATCTTTAAAGATCAGCTTATATCAACTCACTCTGTCTGGTAAAAAAGTGTGTACACATTATTTTTCCCACACCCATTCTCAGATCAAGCTGAAACTTTGAACAATTATTCATTGACATAAACAAGACATGAATCAATAAAAACAAGGTTACAAAGACAGTTTGTGTGGAAACAAACTCAAAATTGGCCCCCGAAGTGGTCCACCCAGGCAGGTAAAAAGGCAGGTTTCAATATTTTCAGAAAGAATATAAGAATAAAATTCTATCAAAGGCAAATGACAGAAGAAAGGAGAAAGAAGATTGACAGATCTTGTGTGGTGCCCCAGCGGTCCAGCAGACCAAGGGATAGGTGAAAGTGAAGGTGAAGTTAGATGTGAACCTGGCCTAACTGATGTCATATAATAATTATCTAATTGATCTTATTATTTTGCTAAGGGTTAATCTCTTATTCTAAGCCTCAAAAAATGGTAAATAGTCATTTCCCTTACTAAATAGCCTCCTGTGTTTGTTACTATTAAGAGTGAATAGTTGTAAAAATGGTGTATTTTTATGAAAAAAAACTGCTTGCATAATTAATTTCTAAATCAGATTTTAAAAAATGCCTTAGAAACACAATTTAATTTATTTTACGGATTGCTAGAAATCAGCTGTCATGATTTCTGAATGTTTTAATGAAACTTTGTGTAATGGGAAGGATTTACTGTATTGTTTATTCTTCTTATGTATACATGTGCTTGCAACTCGTCCATAAGAATGTGTTCACGAATGTTACAGATGTGTGTTGAGTAGTCATTACGTGTATTAAAGCCATACTTTGTAGACATGGTTTTCAACTCTATTGAATTATTTATATAACACTCATAACACTTTGTGTTGTTTTTTATCACAGATTTGTTTCCTATTCTTATTAATTCCCTTCCCATCGTTGCATAAAATTTTCTTTTTATCTCCTTAAAAAATAATTTTTTTTTAAAGCTGGCACTTACCTGTAACAGGTTATTTTTGGTAAGAGCATGAGCTATGGCCTGAGCACCAGCTACCCTGATTTGATTGTCACAGAGGTTCAGTTTGACCAATTTGGAGTGATTGTTAAGAAATTTACCAATGGCACGTGCTCCACGATCACCTATTATGTTGTGGGAGAGATCTAGTTCTACAAGTCCGGGATGATCTAGAATATGACTAATCAGTACTCTGGCCTGTAAAAATAAAAATGTTGTTTGTTTGTAAAATGTTTTACATGTTTCAAAAGCTTCGTCAGAATTTAATTACTAGTTCAAACCTCCCGCAGAATGATGGGGATGGCGGCAAGCTGCATGTGAACCCAGGACCATTGAGTCGACTGAACAACAGTCAAGCGGACACACCACATGACCAGGCAGCCATCCATATTAAAGAAACTCTAAGTTAAAGTAATGTTGGTATTTACATCAACATTTTCTAAGCATCTCTCTAGTAAATAAATAAGAACACAATCAAAACGAATACGATACAATACGAATATATTAAATTGCTATGGCCTCCTTCAGTTGCGAAGCGACTATGGATCATTTTATGGAAATGAGATGAATGCCTGGGCAGCTGTGGTCAGAATGATGTCGCCAATTAGTATTATTCAAAATATAGTAGATAACACAAAGAACTAAAAATGATTCAAGATATAATAGATGACTGTGACAATGGGTTTGGATGATAAATATCTGTGAAAAACTTTGTATTATTAGTTTGTATAGAGACGCACCATAGTTGACAGACTTTGAACACCACATTTAGTGATGTCACGACTTAGTTGGGTCATAGATTATTTATGTAAACATGGTGTTAGGACTTCAGATGGATAACATGATAACTGACAGAGACTCGACTGTGGCCTTTTCAATATTTAATGTCTTCTGAGTATATAATGGTCTTTTTCTACTTGTTACATGTGTAGGTCTTGTTACTTGTTAGTTAAGTACATCAAAACCCAGACATCTTCAGAGTAATCAGTCAAAGTCAGACAGCCATCAACAACTTCAAGGGCAAGGCCTATCATATATGTTTTATTATTTTCAGAAGTTAGATCTAAAATCTAAATTTAAAAATCCTAATTACACTGTAATTGCCAGAGTTATTTGTTAAGGTGGAGAAAAAACAGAAATCCTCTTTACAAAATAAAACTATTTAATCCTTCTACAAATCAT